GATGGATGGATGGATGGATGGATGGATGGATGGATGGATGGATGGATGGATGGATGGATGGATGGATGGATGGATGGATGGATGGATGGATGGATGGATAACAGGTGGGTGGATGAATGAAAAATGAAGGAAGCATAGATGGGTGAATGCCGGTGAATAAATGAGTGAATGCCGGTGTATATATGAATCAAAGAAATTAGTGAGATCGATATTAGTCATTCGATTACAAATAGAAARATATGCCAAGAAAAAAAAAACATTACCAACGTTATTGTATGTATTCATATCCTTTACAGTGATAACAGTCCGCCATATTGCTAATGCACGAATCTGGATATTTTGACCAGAGTGAGGGTTGGAAGTAGACTCTGAATGGCCAAGTAGTATGCTTGTTTTCTTATTTGTATTACTTGAAGGTACAGCCTTGTAAATAAAGGAATAATCTTATCACGATATTAGCATAACAATTTATAGATATATTTTGTATATAAAATTTATGTTTTTCTTTTCTTCCTACGGTCGTTTATTTTATTTTATTCTATTAATTTACTTATTAATATTAATTTACTCATAACACACAAATACAGTCGATAGTCGACASGTCTGTTTCCCCACCTAAATTTACATGGAACTTCAGTAAACTTCAGTAATACGACTGTACTAGATCGACAAAACAAAAAGTCTTGATTAAAATCACCGAAAAAAGAACCTCCAAGTCAAAGTTTTTAGATTAAACGTCAATGAGGCTTTTCTTCCCTACAAACGGTATATATATATGACCACGTATTCATCGTTTCCCTGCATCTCACTTTCCCTTTTTCAAAAAAAATACCAGCAAAGACAAGTATTGTTTTATATATTTACCACTTGGAAATTTTTCGATTCTTTTTCATTCATTTAAATTTTGAAAAATACTTGTCAACTGAAGTTTCACGTTTGCCGTAAACGAGATGCTTAAACTCTCTAATGTAAGAACCCGAGCCTTATTAGCGAACACAGAAATGATGCTCAAGAGAAATCATACTCAAGAGAATGACGCGCGAGCGACCTGCTAACTATAACACTTGAAAAATTTGTTTATCAAATTGGTGAGGAAAACGATACAATTTTTCACCGGCAGATATGCAATGCAAATTTAAAAAATAACTGACTATATGTTATTCAAACTTTCATTCATTCTGCCAAGCCCTAGTTTTGTCAAAAACAAATGGCACCTTTCGTGCAAGCACTGATGTTTGACAGCAAACAAGGGAATATTGCATTAAAATCTAATGTTATTGCATACCAATCCGGATGCCATGAGTTGTGTATTTTCATAGAGCTTCAAGCCTTGCGTAGGATGCCACGTGACGGTCATGGGTCTAAAATCTTTTGACTTGTCTGTTGCCTTCAGTGTCCAGGTTTTTGCTTCAGTACTGACTTTGACCACCATGTCACCTGAACCGTTTGACAAGGTTTGATTATGGAAGATTGCAAAACCAGTTGTCTCTGGATTTTCGGCCCCAGTGGTTAAGATGTAAGCTTGATCTGTAGTTAGCTCTAAACATGAAATATTGATCTTAGAGTATAAAATCCAGGTGAATTTAATTAGGCGCGCATAATGCATATTATTATAGCAAAAGTTTACAAGTATTTTATTTATTTTCGAGTAAAAGCTGTTGTTTAGCTGTTGTCTAGAAAATTCGTTCGGGCGGATACAAACGAAATCACCTGGAATATTCAAACAAAAAAAGCTAGCGTATCAGGTTCATGTAAGCGGAAAATTAAGCCAGCGATTTACTTGGAACGCAATCAAAAGAATATGCATCATACGCAGACGCTGTTATATACATGTTAATAGAAGCAGCCGTTTTTTCTTCCCATCAACGGGACAAGAAAATACCCTGACTTTTTGCCTATGCTTGGGTTTCAAATAAAAAAGAGAGATCCGGTGAAATAAAAGCAACAAATAATTAAAGCTTCTACTTAACAACTTGCTACGTTAGCAATAGACCTTTTTTAAGCTTGGGCGTAATGTTTTGCCCATTTTATACCATGGCGTCACTTCCTGAAGTACTATTTAATCTTTGTTTAACGGGTTGTGGATACAACTGAAACAAAGAATCTTATTCTCAAGAGAATGAACGTTGCCTGACATGGGAAAACATTAATCCCAAGCTAAAAGGGTTTATTATCCTTTGCGACCAGCTAAGCTAATGACCCCGCCCCTCYTCTCCCTCCTATCATCACATCCGGCATACAAGTCAGGAGTAATCCAGTACCGCTCGAAAGCTGGATTTTCATTGCTCCCTAAGTACATTACCGCTTTTGTAAAGGTTAGGTTTAGTGCCATTGTTTGGATGACCAATCTATTGTTTTTTAATCCAATCATGTAACTCGTTCCGAGCGGTACGGGCTGGCTCCAACTCAGATTGATTTTACTTGGCCCATAAAAAAATAGTATCAAAAGTCATAATACGTAGAAGCAGACACTATACCCATTGTTTTCTTTTGTTTTCCTTATGATGTTTGTGTAACATTTATTGGYCAAGTCTTAAAAATCACAAAAAATAACTAAATCACAAATGTTACCTTCGTTGTAGAACACTTCAATCTCATCGACAATAAAATATTTAGTGTCTGTGAATAAATCCTGCGACACGGAGGCTAAACCCGACTCCAGCTCATAATTCTGACCCGGGGACGAATACGATTGGGCAACGGTGTTGGCGTTATCCTTTAACACCAAGTCACTATCTCCAAATGTTGGCAACGAGGTAGGTGTGGTAGTTGCTGCTGTGTTAACTATACCAAACATACTTTGGATTAGGGTCAGCTTTCGTGGAGCCGTCCCTCTAGGGTTATTTAGGCTAAAGAGAAAAGCCTTTGAGTCAACAATAGAACCATTCTTTGAAGCTACCGAGAGAAAAGATAACGGTTATCAATAGAGCATTTGCCTAAATGAAATAGGAAATCAAGGGTGTTGTAAGTAGCGGTAGTGAACTCTCCTTTCACCTTTGGGGTMTCGGGCCTAATCCCTGAACTTGGCATCACATCCCTTGATTAAAGGGTTTTACTCAGAGTTCTCCGGTTTTTCTGCCTCCGAAAACTCACTAAATTCCCATTCGATCTATGACTTTTTAAATTTATTTATTTATTTATTTATTTACTTATTTATTTATTTAGTAATTTATTTATTTTTTATCAACTTTACGAGACATATTTGCAAAGGTTACGAATAATAATTAATATACTTATTTCAATAAAGTTAGTCACCTGAAAAGCTGAGACCGACAAGGGTTATGGGTATGATGACATGTTTCAATCGCTTGATAACTGTTGATAGACTTGAGATCTTCTACCAGTTACAAGTTCACCTCCTCTGAGCATCCTCAACTACTGCAGCTTGTGTCAAAAGCTTTACTTGTTGAATAAGAAATATTTCCCATGATTCTTAGCGATCACAGCTTTCTAGGTTTTTGGTGACTAACTTTATTGAAATAAGTATATACAAGAGAGCTAACGCACAACAGGTAGTTTACGACAAACTGCATTACAAAATCAAAAACGAAAACAAAAAATCAACATATATCAACAAAAGTGAGAGATACGTCCAACTATTCGACTATCTATTTCATTATTTTTAAAACATTATTTTAGACTTTCATTAACACAGAAGTTTTTTCAGCAGGGCTCAATCATATAAGTTATAATAAATGTGCCTTGACTTTTATCAGCCCAGAAGTTGTTTCATTGTTCAAAGTGTGGGTTAGCCTTGCCTAACTTTTATCAGCCCAGACGTTGTTTCTAGTATTTAATTTTTTTTAGAAAATTATTCTAGACTTTCATTAACAATGAGGTTTATTCAGGGCTTAATCATATAAGTTATAAAAGATGTGCCTTGGCTTTTATCAGCCCAGAAGTTGTTTCAAGGTTTAAAGTGTGAGTTAGCCTTGCCTTAACTTTTATCAGCCCAGACGTTGTTTCAGRGTTTTATCTGTGAGTTACCATGCCCTGCATAACTAAAAGTATCGATAACATTCGATGGTATTTAGAGCTACTTACGTCCCCAAGTTTCAGACAAATATCCTCCAAACACGAAATCTTGAACTTTGATGATAGTTAGAGTTGAACTCTTGCCATCGCACTTCTGATGAAAAATTGCTCCGGTCCAGCCGTCCTGGGATGCCCGGTAACACGGAAGCCATCTTGATTTCTTTGGGACAAGGGGTAAAAGCCACGAATCAAGTGCTGCGTGATATGTAGCATTCAAACCCAGAATACTGGAAATCAATCCTACGGGAAAAAATACGTATTACAATAAATAAAATGTTTAAAACAATTTTAATTGGCTATCATCTATTTGACGAGATGGAAGGATACTGTCCGCAATGTTTCAGTGGCGCTCGGCCAGCAATACCAAAACGTTCAAGATGAAGGTGATGATGACGAGGATGAGTATAGTGAGCTAATGCAGGCAATGCGACAACAATCTCTACAGTTGCATTGCAAAAACAATATCCTGTTGAAACAAGATRAACGATTACAAGTAGAGGTTTTTTCCAAGGACAGTGGTTCAATTACCTCCCACATTTTACGACAATTTTATGAACTTTTGAAGACAAAACAAAAAGTTATATTTTTTATTTATACCTCCATATTTGAACCAGAATGACAAAGTGAATCCATTTGGGCATCGGTCAGGTTTAGTAAGACAGTCTTCCCCAAAGCCATCAAATATCACGTGGCCACTGCCATTTAGAGATAGGACGCCAAGTTCATCGTTGACGCCGGCACCGGATACTACGCCATCTTTAAGAAAGGCTCTGTCTTTCAGTTTTCCACTTTCGATCCGAGTCAAGGGCCAGTGATTATCACCTTCACATCAACAGGAAAAACAGAGTTAGAGTTAAAAGAAGTACAGTTAAACGCAGTAAATACGGAGATTGGAGGGACCAGTTGAGGGGACAGGGAGAGGGAGAGGGGGAGGGTCCGTGTTTTTGTGTCCGAGTGAAACCACTCCGTATCCTGGGCTGAATTATATCAGGGCACGGCTTATTCTAACGAAAAAGGCTGAAAAGGGCAACTCAAAAAAGCCACAAATTTAAAATKTCTTTGATATTGAGAATTCCATTTTTTAGAAACTTAGAAAAGTAATGAATAGTCGTCAACAAATTATGCATATTATGCAAATTATGTAGGATAAACACCGCGCTATCAATTCAGCTGCGCAGTAAAATTAGTTCAAATTCTTATTGTTCTTTGTCATCCTGTCCCCCTTATCAAGCTGTTAACGTCATAGTGAAATAGGGCAATTTGTAAAATGAAATCATGTTTTCCCCTCACCTGGGCACTCTTCAACAATTGGTATCTCTTCTATTGAAATGGCGGCTGTGGCACAGCAGAAGAAAAGACTTAAAAACACCAAGATACACGTAGGGATCTACGAATATAAAAATAAATGAATGTTATCTTTTTCGGTATSTTATGCGCATCATTACTAATAAGGAGCAGCTTTCTCTGAATAAGATGAAATCGCATCTCTCGCCACGCGCAAGATATTAAACAGGCCAGAGAGTTTCGTGGTGATAGTAATGTTAATAATAGTAATAATAATGATCATGATCATGATGTTGTAGCTAGAGAAGTCATTTCAAAGTCGAAAAAGAAAATCAATTCTCGATGAGATTGCAATTTAGCAATTCAACAGATCTGCCCCCCGTCAACTATGCCGTCAACTTAGTCAACCCGTCAAGTAAGGTTGATCAAAGGACAAAATTTCGAGTTTCCAGTTTACCGTGAGGTGATATCATATCACTTTACTGATATGGTTTTTATTCACGGCTTTATCACTAGGATATCGACCCTAAATGTGTAAGCTTGTGTAATAAATATATTACATCAATACAACATTTTCCCCATAAATTTTGATAGTGTCCAAAAAATAACAAATGAAAAAAGTTAAATGATATAAAGGTAAATGCTAGAGTTAAGATAAAATCTTTTTAAAACTGACTGAAAAACCATTTAGTCATTTTGCGACAAATCGAAAATGAATGAGTTTCTGACTAATCATTCCCAAGTTGTTATTTTCGTTATTTGCAGGAAAACGTTTTGGAGTTTTCTTTTTAGCAAAATAAAACTGAGGTTTTTGGTTCTTTGTAAAGGTTGAACCCAAATAGCTTTGCTTTCTTTTTTCAGTGGTGCTATGGCGAAACACTTGTTTCTTAAAGATATTTTCTGGCCRTACTTAAATTCAAATGAGGTATTAGTGCATCTTTAAAAAATCTATACCTTATGGTTGGCCATGATCGTTCTCGTCATTGGAAGCAGCGCAATCCCATCTGAAAGACGTGTCGAAATGCTATTTCTTCCACCGCCAAGCAAAACACTTTTAAAGGTTTATAAAAACGGTTTTAAGCACCTCACACCCGTAGCCAGGTGTTCAATAAATAACTTTGTCGCATAAGTTGAATTTCTTTCTATTCTTTCTATTTCTTTTTAATTACGAAAATATCCCAATGTCAATGACTCAATTTTGTTTCCAGCCAATCCCAGCTTTAAAAAGTCCGATTTTTTTTGCTCGTTATTGCTGTACAAGTCCAAACTTTGATTGATACTTATTCGATCCGTCTTGTTTGCGTTATCCAAGTTCAAAGTACCTACAATAAACTTTGTAGCTTTTAAGTATTTCTACTGACTTCGTGTTTATTCGTACAAGTTGTGCTCAAGAGAATAGTCACGTTGTAAATAATGAATCATTATAACAATCTGCCCAATAGAAAGAGATAAATTTTTAATGTTTTTTTCATTCAAAACACCAGACGCAGCACGTTTTTCGTTTTSAGAACTATTCCTTAAACCAAATAGGGTTGGTCTGATGCTGTGATTATTTTCAAATGCACGCAGAAAGCAAGACTTCTAACATTTAGAAGTAGTAATATCCAGGGCTGATGGAAAGAGCTGTGACCAAAGGATGCTTAATTTAGGAGATATTTGCTCCTAGCTAGTTTTTTAAAAAGATTGAAAAATAAAAAGGATGAATAGAAAGAGGAGAAAGAATGGACGGATGGAAAGAAGGGAAAGAGGAATAATGGAAGAAAGGATAATTGAAAGGAAAGATGAATGGATGGATGGATGGATGGATGGATGGATGGATGG